AAAAAAAAAAAAAAAAAAAAAAAAAAAAAAAAAAAAAAAAAAAAAGGGAGAGAAAAGAAATAATTGGGTGTTAACTGTCTTCTTGGGGTTCAATTATAGTTAAGATGTAAACATATGAAACATCATTTGAGAAGTTTGGAAGGAACTCTCTAAAATAGCATTATTCAACTTAAAATATATGATTTATCATTAAATATCTGTTCTATGGTCTATTTGCACCTATGCTTAGCAGCTGATTTTCTATCTGATCTTTTTAGTTTAAGTCACATTTTTACATTTCATTGTGCCTGTGGCTCACAAGCATTGTAGGAATTTCCAGTACATATTTCTTAAACTGGAATTTTTTTTTTTTTTGAGATGGAATCTCACTCTGTCGCCCAGGCTGGAGTGCAGCGGCATGATCTCAGCTCACTGCAAACTCTGCCTCCTGGGTTCAAGTGATTCTCCTGCCTCAGCCTCCTGAGTAGCTGGGACTGCAGGCATGCACCACCACGCCCAGCTAATTTTTGTATTTTTAGTGGAGATGGGGGTTTCACCATATTGGTCAGGCTGGTGTTGAAATTCTGACATCATGATCTACCCGCCTCAGCCTCCCAAAGTGCTGGGATTACAGACGTGAGCCACTGCACCCGGCCTCAAACTGGAATTTTAAAGAAATACCATATTGCAAGTATAAGAAATTTAGAATGTTGCAGTCAAGAGATACAGGGAAGGTACACTGTCTATCATATAGGGAAGAAATTTATTTTTACCATGAAAGTAATACACTACAAAGTAAGTTAAGGTCATAGTGGGGTTGCATGCACAACTACTTAAGTCACATCTCTTTCCTGGTCTCCAATCTGCTCCTGAAAGTTCTGATAGCTAATAATGATAGCTAACTTTTATTGAGTATCTACTATGTGCTGGTGTTAAGCATTTTTCTCCATATTTTCTCATTTAATCCTTGTGCCAAATCTCTGAGAAAGATGCTGATATTACCTTGGTTTTACAAAGGCAGTGAACCTTGAGGAGGTCTAAATGACTTGCTCTAGTAAGCTTAGAGTCACACACACAAAGGCTTGCTTGGTGGTTACTGTTAGACCATCTCATTAGTTACTCATCACGGAGTGCAGAAGACTCTATTGGTATTTTTAAAATATTCAGTCTTCACCTGTTCACCATGTCTTTCTCTGCTTGTTAAGGCTTTTTTACCTATCTATCCACTCTTCTAAGGGCATGCAAATTCAGGTTCTATTCTTTTTTTTTTTTTGGATTGCAGCCATTTATTGAAATTGGAGACATTTTTTAATCTTGTTGAGACTCCGTATCAGGCTGTCTACAAAGTCCACTGGGAGGCCGAGGATCAGGTTCTATTCTTGAATACACATGCCTCTCCCTGTTTGAAGAGGATGTGTAAGTAAGTATAGTAGACCCCCTGGGCCCCCTTTATCTGTGGTTTCACTTTCACAGTTTCAGTTATCCAGTCTGAATATATTACAATATTTTGTGAGATAAAGACCACATTCACATAATTTTTATTACTGTATATTGTTATAATTATTTTATTTTATTAGTTATTGTTAATCTCTTACTGTGCCTAATTTAGAAATTAAACTTTATCATAAGTATATATGTAAAGGAAAAAAACAGTGTGTCCCCCCTGGATACAGGGGGGACTACTGCATTAGATATTTTTGACTATCTCTCTCTTAGCTATCAATCTACCATCTACAACCTATGAAATCTTTGTATAGGTTAATGGTATAACTTTGGTATGTAATTGGCTTTGTGGCTTGCTCCTCTGTATTTCTCTGTATTTACATCTCTGAGTGTATATGAAGATGAATACTACAGGTTTGTTTTTTACTGGCTCGAGTAGAGAGAGGGTGCCCTGGATACGTCTACATGCAGCTCTCTCTCCTTTCTTTATTACTTGATCTCAGGTAAGGATGAATTCTTCAACACTGTTATAGGAAACGGCAAACATCCTTCTAAGTAAAATATTTCAGCAAAATGGATCCAGGAACCCAGCAGTTTTCGTTCCATCTATCTTGATCCTTAAAAAAATCAATTTCATAATGAATTAACTCTGTTAACCAAGTAGATAATTTTGTAACGCATTTGTAATATGAGAAACACTATTTCACCATTCTAAATTACATATATATTTTTTAGATGAAGGCTTGCTCTGTCACCCAGGCTGAAGTGCAGTGGCATGACCTCAATTTACTGCAAGCTTCACCTCCCAGATTCAAGTGATTCTCCTGCCTCAGCCTCACAAGTAGCTGAGATTACAGGCGCCTGCCACCATGCCCGGCTAATTTTTGTACTTTTAGTAGAGATGGGATTTCAGTCACGTTGGCCAGGCTGGTTTCAAACTCCTGACCTCAAGTAATCTGCCCGCCTTGGCCTCCCAAAGTGCTGGGATTACAGGTGCGAGCCACTGCACCCAGTCTGAATTACCTATTCTAAAATAATGGTAACTAGATCTGTGATTCTCAACCTTTAGTGTGCCCAACAGTCATCTGGAATGTAGATAGAATGATCTGGATTTTATTCGTCTTCAGGGATTCTGGTTTAGTAAAACTGAAAAAGGGCCAAGAATTTGCATTTTAACATGGTCTCTGGGTGATCTTGGTGCAAGTGGCCCCTGGACCTCACTGATTAACCCAGCCACCAATCATGAGAACCTGTGCTTGTTACTTTGCCTCAGTTCGCTGTTTATGCAAACTCCTGGAGAGTCTCCCAGAGTTCAACTCACAGTATTGGGCAGGTCCGATCTTTCTGGACATTCCTCTGCTGGGTGTTTCCTGGGTGTCTGTCTTGCCTAATGCTTTCAAGACTTTCAGTTAGAACAGTTCATTAACTAATGTGTTTAAATTCCATGAATTGAGTAATCCAAATACTGAGACAGGAAATTCTTCTCTTTATCTTCTCCTAATCCCAACGAACACTGAATCTCCTTTTTTTAAATTCACTTGATTATTTGGTTCAGTGAGAAGTTTTTGACCTGGAACTCAATGTGCATGCAACTGCAGGGAGCTCAACTACCTGGTAGACATCTGGGGGAAACTTAGTGATTCTCACTGTAATACAGTAAAATACTTGCTAGTAATTGCTACCTTTAGGTAAAAAGCTTTTTTTAAAGCTTTTCAAGATATTTTTAAAAGGTTTTTTAAAATTAATAAAAATTCTGTAAACATTAATCAATCCAGTTAATTTTTAATACTTATATGTTCTTCATACTAATGTTAGAGACAATAATAAAGTACTCTTGGAATATAGAGCTTGTCTAATATTTTTCTCATCAATGTACAAAGCATGATGTTTTGTATATAGTGGGTTCTCAAAACATATCTATATCCCCAACCTAGACCTCCCTAATATTTTATATCCAATTGCTTACTCAGCATTCTTCCTAGGATTTATAATAGGCATTATGAAATTAACTTGTCCAAAACTAGACTCCTGATATTTTCTCCTAAACTACCACCACCACCTCTTCCTCTCCTCCTCCTCCTCTCTTCCTTGCCTGTCTGCCTTTTTTCCTTCTCTCCCTCTCTCCCTCTTCCTTCCTCCCTCCCTCCCTCCCTCCCTCCCTCCCTCCCTCCCTTCCTTCCTTCCTTCCTTCCTTCCTTCCTTCCTTCCTTCCTTCCTTCCTTTTCTTCCTCATTCCTCCTTTTTCTTCCTTCTTCTTCTTTCTTCAATTACAGATGGGGTCTTGCTATGTTGCTCAGGTTAGACTTGAACTCCTGAGCTGAAGGGATCATCCCAAGCAGCTGGACTGTAGGCATGCATCACTGTGCCTGGCTTATTTCTTTCTCCCCTTAAGGTGAATCTGCCCCATCTCAGGACATACGAACTCCATCTTTCCAGTTGCTAAGGACAGTAACTGTGGAATCATCCTTTACATTTATCTCTTACATCAGTTGATCAAAAAGTAATTTCAGGGCCAGGTGCAATGGCTTATGCCTATAATTCCAGCACTTTGGGAGCCCGAGGTGGGAGTATTGCTTGAGCTCAGGAGTTTGAGACCAGCCTGGACAATATAAAAAGACCTCATCTCTACAAAAAATACAAAAATTAGCTGGACATAGTGGCACATGCCTGTGGTCCCAGCTACTGAGTAGGCTGAGGTAGGGGTATTGCTTGAGCCCAGAAGACTGAGGCTGCAGTAGGTCGTGCTTGCACCACTGCACTCCAGCCTGAGTGACAGAATGAGACCCTGTCTCAAACAACAAAAAAAAGTAAGTTCAGCAGTGCCTTCAAAATATGTCAAAAATCCAGCCACTTCACACCACCTCCATGGTAACCATCTGAGTCACCATCCCTTCTCACTTGAATGACTGCAACAGCCCCTTAACTAATTGCCCTGATTCTGCCCTTGCCCCACTTCAGTTTCCTTTCAGCACTGTAATATCAGAGTTATCCTTTTAACCCATACCCACCTCCCTGACTTCATCTCCTAGACTCCCCTCCTCACTTATCATGAAGGGCCACACTGGCCTCCTCCTTGCTGATACTTAAAACACTCCAATTGTGCTCCTGGCTGAGAACCTTTGCGTTTGCTTTTCCCTCCACCTGAAATGCATTTCTCCCAGATATCCTCAAGGCTATCTTCCTCACCTCCTTTAGGTCTTTACTCAAATGTTACTCACTTAGTGAAGCTTTTCCAGACCAGCATATTTAAAGTTGTAAACAGTAGCCCCTACTCCTCATATGATCACTCCTGATCCTTATTCCTTGGCTTATTTTCCATTATAGTTCTCATTGTCATCTGATGCATTGTATTTTTACTTATTAAATGATGTACAAGAATTTGAGCTTTCCAAAATAAGAGATTTTGTCTGAGCACAGTGGCTCACACCTGTAATTATAGCACTTTGGGAAGCTGAGGTGGGAGGATTGCTTGAGGCCATGAGTTCGAGGTTGCAATGAGCTGTGATACCACTGTACTCCATACTGGGTGACAGTGCAAGGCCCTGTCTCTTAAAAATGAAGAAGAAGAAGGAGGAGGAATGGGGGGATTTTTGTCTGTTTTGCATATTTCTGTATACAGGTGCCTAGAATAGTACTAAGAACGCTCAGAAGGGTGTCTGGAATATAGTGGGTGCTCAAAAAGCAGTAGTTGCAGAATAAATAAAGAACTGTACTGGGAAGCAGATAAATAAGCAGAAAATTATAGTACAATGAGGTATGTGCTGTGACTACATGGAATGTAATGAGGACGTTCAGTAGGAGCACTAAATGCCTTTGGGGTGGGGAAGAGTCAGGGAAGATTTCTTGAGGAGTGGACATCTGAGTTGACTCTTGAAGAGTTAGTAAGCAATAGCCAGATGAATGATTGCATGAAAGAATATTGATGAGACAGGATGGGTTGGAATCCAGAGTAACCCTAAGGGTCCAGAGGATTGGAGGGAAGGAGTTGGACATGAGTGCGAATGGAGACTGTAGTTGTTGGAATAGGGGGACGGGAGGGAAACAACAGAATTTGAGGATGTTTCTGGCTGCTATCTTAAGGTTTCCTATTAATTAGAGATGAAATTAGCATTGCAATACAATGAATCATTGGTTGATCACTTTGGATGTGCTGTTTCAAAACCTTAGCTAATTATTTTCATAGAGCTAACATATATTTAAGATCCAAATCTTTGTTTGAAATAACCCTTCAGGAAGTAAGAGTGTCATGCATATTGCATAAATCTCTTAATTGCTTTTGCCAAGTCCACAAGTGCAAGGGTTGTCTTTTAATCTAGAATGTACGTAAAACAGTAAAGATAGGATTTTCCATTTTTCAGGTTTCTCTTATAAGGTTATTCGGGTTCCTCCAGAGAAGGTGGACCTTGGGGAGACAATCCATGGAGCCCAGGTGATATGTTCTATTGCTTCTGCAGAAAAGGGGACACCTTCTTACTACCATAGCTTTGGTGAGTCCAGAGATAAGCCAAATTTCAGTGGGCCCTGCCTTGATGTTGCTGTAGCCGAAGGACTGGTTTGGCAAATGTTGTGTTAATAGTTTATCAGACTATGGTGATAATGAGACCAAGGTTGCATTCTGATGCCAGTTAATTCTGTTCGGTCACATGTATTTCTGGCTGGCATTTGTTTAGGGCAGCAGTAACATGTCCAGGCATTCAGACAAGCTCCTGTAACTGTCACATTTCAGACAACTCTAGTTTGCCAATTAACATTTTTATTGTTTGCTGGAACTTTTTAGGAATGACAAGGAACTATATAATCTTCATTGAACAGCCTCTAAAGATGAATCTGTGGGAAATTGCCACTTCTAAAATTCGGGGAAAGGCCTTTTCAGATGGGATAAGCTGGGAACCCCAGTGTAATACACAGTTTCATGTGGTGGATAAACACACTGGACAGGTGGAGTATTTTGAGTATATTTATCATGAAAATTGTTGGCCACAAAGGCACATTTCCATATAATTGATTTTTTAAATTTTCCCTGGGCATTCTTTGCATAAGACACTTTTAATCAAATATATTACCTACTTCTATAGGTTGAACTAGCTATTTATTAATTAGTAAGGTGGATTTTGCATATTAGAAAATTATAGAAAATGATTTTATCTTTTTAATGATCTGATTCAATTAAAATGACGTCCAGGAAACTCTCTTAGCATGGATTTTTTCCATATCATAATAGTTGCTAAAGAGGCTGTTGTTCGTGGAGAAATGTTCTGTAACATTTGCAGTAATACTTTAATTAGTTGATCCTCTGGCTTCTTAATATGTGAATATGACAATCCTACTAAAGTCCAACCATGTTGGTTGAATATCTGTTTATACTCCTGATTCATAGCACTATTATATTTGCCTGTTTTACCCCTCTAAAGAGATAGTGTCTTAAATTTACCTAGATCTCATTACAAAAAAAATTTAGTAATGACTGTACTTTTAAAAAATTAGTCACTTAATTTATCATCAGCATATGGAGTAGCAATATTTTCTATTTAACCATGCAGTTAGAATCCAGAATTTACATATCCTTCAAAACATTGGGCTATATTTCATGAGGGTTTTTAAGTTTGTTGTAACAATTGATTGGTCTATATCAAATAGCCCCAGTTCACTGATTAATGTGAGATGAGATGCTTAAGCAAGCAACGTTTAAATCAAAGCATATTTGCTTCTACATTCTGTATTCTACTTTTATATCTACTAGACCTGCCGCTTCAGAGGGGAAAATTCTCCTAATTTTCTTATTTTGAACTTTTTGGACCTGTTTCCCAAAGGAAAGGGAAAAAGAAAGAAACCAAAAAAATTTTTTTTCTCATTGTTTGTGTGTGTTTTCCCCTGCCTGCAGCTTCTTCCAGGGAGATACTACAGCAAACCTTTTGTTACATTTCATCAAATCAATGCCTTTGAGGACCAGGGCTGTGTTATAATTGATTTGTGCTGTCAAGATAATGGAAGAACCCTAGATGTTTAC